TTAGTAGAGACGGGGTTTCACCATGTTGACCGGGATGGTCTCGATCTCTTGACCTCGTGATCCACCCGCCTCGGCCTCCCAAAGTGCTGGGATTACAGGCTTGAGCCACCGCGCCCGGCGACCTTATTTCCTAATGAGTGTAAAGAGTGCACTTTGGAATGACAATGAACCTCTCTTTCATCAGTGACTCTTGGTAAATATGTGTGACTTAAGCTACTGTGGGTGTTCAAGAAATGTGGCCGGGCACAGTGGCTCACACCTGCAATCCCAGCACTTTGGGAGGCCAAGGCAGGCAGATCACAAGGTCAAGAGATCAAGACCATCCTGGTCAACATGGTGAAACCCTGTCTCTACTAAAAATACAAAAATTAGCTGGGCATGGTGGCACGCACCTGTGGTTCCAGCTACTCGGGAGGCTGAGGCAAAGAACTGATTGAACCCAGGAGGCAGAGGTTGCAGTGAGCTGAGATTGCGCCACTGCACTCCAGCCTGGCAACAGAACAAGACTCCGTCTCAAAAAAATAAACAAACAAGCAAAAAATTAGCCAGAAGTGGTGGCATGCACCTGTAGTCCCAGCTCCTGGGGAGGCTGAGGTAGGAGGATCGACTGAGCCTGGGAGGTTGAAGTTGTAGTGACCTGGGATCACACCATTGCATTCAACCTGGATGACAGAGTGGGGCCCCATCTCAAAAAAAAAAAAAAAAGTTGAAATTGCTCATTGATCCACAGGCTGCAGAATGTTGTGTTAGCAAGCATGAAAACAATGTTCATCTCCTTGTCCATCTCCATTAGAGCTCTTGGGCAACTAAGTGCACTGTCAACTAACGGTAATGTTTTGAAAGGAATCTTTTTTTCTGAGCACTGGGTCTCCACAGTGGGTTTAAAACAGTAAACCTTGCAGCCGGTCGTGGTGGCTCATGCCTGTAATCTCAGCACTTTGGGAGGCTGAGGTGGGCGGATCACCTGAGGTCAGGAGTTTGAGACCAGTCTGATCAACATGGCGACACCCCATCTCCACTTGAAGTACAAAAATTAGCTGGGCGTGGTGGTGGGTGCCTGTAATCCCAGCTACTCAGGAGACTGAGACAGGACAATCACTTGAACCCGGGAGGCGGAGGCTGTAGTGAGCCGAGACTGCACCACTGCACTCCAGCCTGGGCGACAAGAACGAGATTCCATCTCAAACAACAACAACAACAACAAAAAACAGTGGCTCACACCTATAATCCCAGCACTCTGGGAGGCCAAGGCAGGCGGATCACCTGAGGTTGGGAGTTCAAGACCAGCCTGACCAACATGGAGAAACCCTGTCTCTACTAAAAATACAACATAAGCTGGGCATAGTGGCACATGCCTGTAATCCCAGCTACTCAGGAGGTTAAGGCAGGAGAATTACTTGAGCCCGGGAGGCGGAAGTTGTGGTGAGCCGAGATGGCACCACGGCATCCAGCCTGGGCAGGAAGAGCAAAACTGTCTCAAAAAAAGAAAAAGTAAACCATGCTATAAATGATGTGCTGTCATCAGGCTTTGTTGTTCCATTTCTAGAGCACAGGCAGAGTAGATTTAGCATAATTCTTAAAGGCCCTAGGATTTTCAGAATGGTGATGAGCACTGACTTTCACTTAAAGGCACAGCTGTGTTAGCCCCAACAAGAGAATCATCCTATCCTTTGTAACTTGAAGCCAGGCACCGATTTCTCTTCTCTAGCTATGAAAGTCCTAGAAGGCATCTTCTTCCAATGGAAACTGTTTCATCTACAACAAAAATCTGTTGTTTAGTGTAACCACCTTCATCAATGATCTTAGATCTTTCAGATCACCTGATGCTTCATCTTGCACTTTTATGCTACAGACATGGCTTTGTTACTTCAACCTCATTAACCTCTGCTCGCTTCAAACTCTTCTGTAGTTTCCTCACCTCTCTCAGGATTCAGAGAATTGAACAGAGCTAGGACTGTGATCTGAATTAGTTTTGGCTCAAGGAATGTTGTAGCTGGTTTGATCTGTCCAGACCACTAAAAAGGTACAGCAAATGATTACAAACAGTAGGGAAAAAAAGCAGATAAGACCACTATTATCTCAGAGGTTATATTCTTTGGGGAGGAAATGGACAATAAGCAAGTGAACAAATGACAGATGTAAATTGATGTGATAAAAAGGTGATGTGAAATCAATGTGATAAAGTGTGCATGGAGATACCATTAGAGTGACCAGAAATGTCTCCATGAGGCACTAATCTTTGACAGGAGTTGATTGACAGGAGCCAAGCATAGTTGAATGGTGTTGCTTTTAAAATCCTTTCCATTCTACTTTTCTACTTATAAACAAATCTAAATTCATGGCCATAAGTACTATTTTAGGGAAAATATTTTAACTTAAAAGCTTTTGCCCTCATCCTCCCCATTTTTTTAAACTGCAAATGTTGAGGCCATTATTAACCCAA